AAACTTAAATGATTTTAGCATATGGCTGCAATATAACAAAGAGTGAAAAATTTAAGGGGGTCTGAATACTTTCCGTACCCACTGTATATACATATTCCTCAAGCGACTGGCATAGTGTACAGAAACATCTGTGCCGAGTACAGGCTGGAAGTCCCAAAGTCAAAATGGGGTACACCTCCAAAGGTGGTTGAGAATGACCAAGCTAAGATCCTGTGTGTCTTCCAGATACAAACTGACAAACTGGTAATGGCGACACAAGTGGCCCCTGTGGTAATAGGAACATTGGGGGCTGTGACCCCCAAACTAGGAGAGTGGCTCCAACAGATCCCAGGAACAACATCTGAGATCTTTGTCCAGAAGAGTGCAGTCCTAGGAACAGCAAGATACTGTGCAGGACCCTCAAGCTCCCAGGCCTCTGGTAGAGGACCTGAGCTTGAAGGAAGGAATACAAGACCACCCCAAAGCGGGGGGCGACGGGGCAGTTTTATATATATGTATATATAAAATTCTCTTTTTTTTTTTTAACTTTGGTTTTGGGGATGAATGGAGCCTTCCTTCAAAATATATAGAGTATTGAGATGAAAAATGATCTTTTATGTTATAATCTGAAGAGACCGCTCTCCTACCAAAACAATCTCATCGGTTATTAACAGCCACATGATGCGTATCTCTTTCTCTTCGCTTCAATTAAGTTAAGCTCAATTTTTAACACCTATTTTAGTAGTTTTAATGGTGCCAGTCAGCACTGATAAAAGCTGCTGCATAGAGCATGCGGCGCATGTATAAATGCTGTTTGATGTACTTGTGCACATGTGCTAGCAGAAGGTGTTCTGCAGTTTGCACTTATGAATGCCACCATATGCTGAAGTTTATCTGTTGGTGTGTATAAGAATGCCATCATATATGGAAATAAAATGGCCAGTGTGCTTCTGTTTACACCAGTGAAACAGGAGAAATGTCAGTAAGTAAAGCAGCCCATGTATTTATTACAGCATTTTACCTGGCACAACGCATCACTGAATATGATAGAGGTGGGAAGACTGTTACTTAAAAAAAAGTTATTACTAATTTCACTGGCATAAACAAACTCTCACTGGTAGTTTTGTCTCAGTACAGGGTGGAGTTCATATACACACCAAGGAATAAAAGGCAGATGGCGGCACAGGCCCCAGCATTGAGCAGCATTCACAAGCACCGACTGCAGAACACCCTCTGCCAGCACATGTGCACAGGCACACAGAGTGGGCTTCACAAATGCTAAGTGCCACCAGCAACAACTTTTATAAATGCCAGCTGGAGATATTACACCTATATTTAAAAGGCTACAAAACAGCAAACAGTAGTAAAAAGGAGACAATAATAGGTCGTCTCTGCAAGGAGGGTATAGGATCCATAGATATGTTTTATTGTAAGTGACCTCTAGTAATTATGCAGGAAGAAAAGGAGGAAGTCAGATGACATATGAAGAACACAGAAATCCATGTAGGGAACAGGGTGGAGGTGGGGATTTCAGATTGCCCATGATTTCCTGCTTCAAACTAGCCATTCTTGTTTCTTTTGGCCATGATCGTTCCATAACCTTGACCACATTTGTTATAGTAAACATGATTGTGAAGGTGGTCTAACCTTAACAAAGTGCTTATTTGAACCATGATCCTTTCCTAGATTTGTCCTAACCAAACTATGACCATTCATAGTTTTAACTGTGTGTTTATAACTGTAAATAAAAGTCTGGAATGCCTGTGGCCTATGGGTAGTATTAGAAACTACTGTAGGCACAAACATGATCATACTATAGGGTGGAGGACGTTGAATTTGCAAATTACTGAGGCAGAAATATCATTAATCGAAATTTCTGTACATGTTGTTGATGTTAGAATGGAGAGAACTTTACCTGCTTGGAGAGCCAGAGCTCAGAGCTTTCTTCATGCCTCTGAAAAAGATATTAGGGCAAAATGTCAGACTCATCAAAATCCTCTCATCCCCCACAGCCTGTCTTTTCTATTACTGCTTTAATTCTACCTAGTACACTTGGGTTTGAATAATTTAACACCAGAGCAGAACTGCAGATGTGGTGCAGTCAGGGTGTTTCATAAAATGAATTTTCATTCATGTTAAATAAAAATACATATGCATTTCCAGTTTTTGATATTTTGTAAAACTTATTTTAAAATAACACTTCAATGAAATGCTTTCCAGACAGAATCATCTGTTAGATAACTAACCCATTATTTTGTCATTTATTTTAACATGTCACTGGGGACACCATTCCCAGACTGAACCTTCATTTCAAACCAACATGCATGAGCGGGAGCCAGAGTTTTGGCAGGGGATTGTGGACGCTGTGTCCAGGCCTGAACTAAGCTGCCTCTTGGCTGGATGGCATGTTTGTTCATGCAAATCACACCAAATCAGGAAGCACAGAACTGGAGAGCAGCCTGTTGAGTCCCACGGTTCAACTGCAGGGCTAACACTGCAATATGCCATCCAAATAGACACACAATACAATATGTAAGGATCCTACTCCAGAAGATTAGCTGTGATTTCAGGAAAGTTATCTTCAAGCCAAATAATTACTAGTTTAACAGACACACCGGTTAAGGCTTGGTCACAACAGAAAGAGGCACACATGTTGGTGCTAGAAGCTTAGAGACACAGGGACTATTCATAGGGCTATGTGTTATCTCTGGTGTCACTATGTTAGCGAGTCTGCAACATGCTAGCACCAGTAATTCAGTGCCTGAACATGTTTCCATTGTTTCATTACTGACAATTTGTTCTCAGGATTTTCCATCACAGGCTGTTCACTAAACCTCAAGTGCAATTGTCTATTCAAGCTGAAAATCATAGCTAGGTAGAGTAGTGCTGGGATTTATTTATGTAGTTTATAGATTAGGATGTGTATATATGGCTCTAGTAAGACCAATACTCAGTATATACAGTAATGGTTTGGAGCTTGGTGTATTCTTTTAGCCCTTACAAAACCAAGAGCAGCAGTGTAATATGTGGATTTAACAGTAGTCTATGTGTAGCCGACGTAAGTGCTCTGATGTAAGCTGCAAATATCAGAATGTCCAGGTGGCTGCCTTCCAAAGGCAAGGGGCATGTCACAGTACCAGAGCTAACTAGTTCTACACTGCAGTACAATAAAAATATCAGTACAGCAGCTGCAAAAACTCAGCTTGAAGCACTACAAGTCAGACTCACACTGAGTTTGGATGCCTACAAACTCCATGTGTTTGATTGTTAGTGTGTGAAATCAAGGACCCATGGTTTAAAAAAAATTACTGACACAGTCTTACTCTAAACTGTAAATGTGTAGTGCAGTATGAGCCCTAGCAGCAGTTACTAAAGGAGGCGGGGCTTAGCAAATTGTCTATTTAATTAATAAAGAGGAACTAAAAGGGGTGCGGGGTGAAAAACACCCTCCAGACACTGTGACAGAGAAAATCCCATTGCAGCAGTTCTATAGAAAGAGACTGATGCACAATGTTTCAGTTTTAAATGCTGGCTTGATTGGGCATTTAATATGTGTGACACTGATTTAATGAGGTCCTGCCCATAAATTTGGTTGAAACGCCTGCAGATTCTGAATGGGGAAAATTCATACTGTATCACCCCTTACATTAAATGAAGACATTTTAGATATCTTTAATCATTTGATGCAAATTTTCTTGGATTTGTGCACGGTGTATTTAGTATTTTCAGAAACTTCTTCATCTCAATTGGAATTCAAAACAGTTTTGTGCCTGTGTGATGCAGATAATGCTGTCTGTGTAACTGCTGAAAAGGTTAATGAGGGCCTTGCAACAATTCTCAAGGTTTTTGTACTTTCTGTCTAACATGAATAATATATGGCACCATTCTTACTTAGCTCCTCTTCGGGCATCATCAAATATGAAAGTTGCAATGACAAAGATCCATAAATAAAGGTAAAAACAAGCACCCAGCAAGGTTAGATGTTTTTAAAAGTTTCAGTCTTATTGACTACAGCTTTTTCTCTCTCGCTCTTTCACAACTACACATATACACAGACCGTGATGCAGGCTCCAGTGGTCGTGTCACACACAGTCAGGATGGAGATGTTCTGGGCCCGGTTCAACCACCTGACGGAGGTCTTGGTCTTGCTGATCCACTTCACCATGGTCACATAATGCTCCCTTTGAATGAATAGAATTATTTTGGTTCATTTGTGCTCAGGGATCAACTGATCATAATACATTTGTTAAAGAGTCAAATGTAGGATAAAATATAAGCAAACAAAAGATTTCTTACTTTGAATGGATTTGATGTGAAAAACAGCACAGAGTGTCCAAGTGTGTCACTAGAGAATTTCAAGAGTAACTACAGTAAACAGCACTCAGTGCAACCTCCACCAAGGCCAACTCGCTTTCCCTCTAATGCCATTACACTAAAAGCAATATTCCTGTCATTCTGTGGCTGTCATAATATAATTGCCTGACCATGAAAACCTACCACTGGCATTTGGAGTGACCCTAATATCATTATTGGTTTGAAAGTTATTCAAGACAAATGATGAGTTGACACACACATTCACTTGTTGGTTTAGGGGTAAAACAGGGACTTCAGTGAGTGGACCATGGGCAAAGTGGTGAAGACTGTCCAACAGCTGTTTGATAGACTGCTCATACAGTCTCTGTTACTGGCTGGTTGTTGGACTGTGGAGTAATCCTTCATATCCTCTGCTCAGCTGTGAGTGTGTGAGATGAGCGCAGCCCCTCCCTCCTCTAAACAGAGACCGACGGCACAAAAGCAAAATAGCACATTCTGCATCAACCTGTGAGGTTATGCTGAGTGATGGTTGATTTGATTTGATTTATTCTTTCAAGCATGTAAAAACAGTTGATATGACAACACACATAATTTTACACATAATCCAATATCAATTTGCTTATACCTAGTACATGCTTGAATGGAGTAGGAAGAAGTCAGACTTATCCAGTCCTACCCCATGACATCATCTTACCATCATTGGTTTGCAAGCAGTAAATGATTCACTTCTACCCACACAAGTATTATACTAAAAAAAGAATATAACAGTGTTAACATTCTTACATCACACAAGTAATATACTAAAGAATTATTAGAAAATGTACACCACACCCACAATTGTCCATGTAATTAATCATTAAACCTGTTCTTGCATATATCTTGATTGACACATACCTTTATATTTATGTTTAAACT